GTTGCTAAAAAGTTGATCAGGATCTAAGATTATGATAAAATACTTATATATGAAAGTTCATCAACCTAGCTGGAACGGTACTCAAGTTATCGTGTTTACACACAGACAATCAGACACACAGACAGACACAAAGACATACGGACAAAATTGCAAAATTATGTTTTTCCGTATCAGTGAGGTGTAAAACGTCGAGATTTATAAAAATCTCGATTTTTTTTTAGCACGATTATAAGATTTTCTCTATACTTCGTATATACTAGAAAGTAAAAACAACCAATGAATTTAGTTTTTAACATTGACGTGATGTGTCTATAACCCGTGCCACACGCTTAAAAGCCTATTACACTGACAACTTAGCTATCTAGACTCGTGACGTCACTGATGTTTTTTGTGCTATATAATAATACTTCGATTTTCCTTATGCAACTTGATTTACGCGCATATTCCCCATCTAGATCTAGATCTAAGTCTAGTCTCTTTCAAATTAAATTTTATCTTAAATTAGCCAATTCCATAGCTAAACAAGCAAAGATCATATAAGATTATATATAGAATAAGAGCAAAACACGACAAGTTCCAGTTCACGGGATACGTACGAGACTTGATTTGTCGTAGACGACTCGACAGCACTCAAACACGTATACCATAATTAGCAACACCACAACGTAAAGAACATATTACACTGCATTGGCCACCTGCCCGCCTAATCCTAACCGACACATCCCCTTTCATCACACCCTCCCCACCCTCGCCCCTAAACCTCATGAGCCCAATATCATATTGCCCCCATAAATACACCCCCTTCGTCACCATGACCACACCCTTGTGTTGAAATACTATGTCCCTACCTCTTTAACTTCGTTAGCACTCCCGTCTATAAGATTTGACTCTTACTGGTTTAGCTAACATTGATAAAAACAAATAGACGATACAGTGATGCAGAGCAGATACTGCCTAGCGAAAGTTTACACAAACAACGAAATTGAATAATACCTAAAGACAAGCAACCGTCCAACGAGATCTGTCAAAAATGAAATTTTCAACTTTCTGTCATCCGACAAAACAATATGCGCAGACGGCGGATCATTAACAGACATCCAACAACTAACTCTTTTAACTTAGACCAATTCATTTTTCACCCACTTTAATTTTATAAACATTATAAACTAACTATACTTTAATTTACGTGGAAAATTGAAATTTATTTTGAATGTAATTTTCATAACAACATCAACAAATGAAATGATCAGAAAAAAATGAAAGAAGAAAAATTATATATGTATATATGTATATATGTATATATATATATATATATATATATATATATATATATATATATATATATATATATATATATATATATATATATATATATATATATACATATATATAAATTGAAAGTTAAAAAAACTTATGATATAACTTCCTCTTTTTTCCCAATATTCTAAATTATATTAATGCGAAAGTTTGACATCAGTCATTTGTAACTGCCTTAACACAAGTCGTCATGCAATTTTATAAACATTTGCCTGTCCAATATCATTAAATTCGAAAATAGGCAGAATTTTACGAATTAGTGGTTTAAAAATGTATCAGCAACATCCAAACCTGCTACTAACAATACAGTTTGAACCTCACAAGTTGGTGTTGTTGCAGCTGATGTGATTGTAGCTTGCATGCTGGTAAATGTTGTGGTTGCTAATTGTGCTCTGACAGATGGTGTGGCGCTGTCTGGCTTGATGGTAAATGCTCTGGTAGTGTATTGATTGGTTATAGGTTGTGTGGTTGTAAATGTTATGTTGGCAGATGGTGTAGTGGAATATGTTGTTATAATCCGTGTCGTTTTCATTGTGGTAATTGAACATTGGCACTTTGAAGTCGCAGAGTCTGAAATATAGGAAAACCAAATAATTATAAGTACACAATTACTATGATTAATACCTAAAATGTTCACTGCTTGTAAATGAAAATCATAGTTTCTTCCCGACTTTTTTCTCCGGGGGGGGGGGGGGCACTTGAAATTTTCGGGGTGGGGGGGGGGGCGGTAGACTTTCTTCGGGGGGGGGGGGGGGGGGCGGACACTGTTCAAATTTTTATACAAAATTTTCTATACAAATTATGTAAATTTCATTTCGTTCGGGGGGGGGGGGGGGGGTGGGGGGGTGGGGGGCTAAGCCCCGAAGAACAAAGTTTACCGAAGAGATGCCTAGAAGAAACTGATGAAAATTCACATAATATAAAAGATTGCAATGCTGGTTGCTGTCTAATTTTTTAACTATTTTAGTTAACTGAAACTCATAATTTAGGCCTATTTCCGTAATTTTTCGACACATTTTTAAACGTGCACAATTTTGCAAGTTTAAATTGTATCAATACATTCAACTGATGCATGGAGCCAGATGACTTGATTTTTTTTAGTACTATAAAATATGCACCTTTATTGCAATGAATAGTAAACATTTGATTAAAATTGAAAATCTAACACAATATGCACATTTAATTATATTTTTTTTTAATTACACAGTTATTATAATACATAATATTCAAATTAAGGTAGCGACCTTTTAAGAGTTTATTTTTTTAAACACAAAAAAGAAGCTTACTGGGTTCCATGCACAAGTATGAGAATTCGATAAATGTGCAAGGAGCGTTGGCTAATGTATCGTAGTAGTAATTATAATTACTGCAATCAGTAAAGTCGTTATTATGATCGGATTCAAATAAATCGTGTCGAACTGCCGTTATTCCGTCCTCAACCCAAACCCAACTTCCTTCAGACATTTGATCGGTGGCACCGACCCAGAAGTGACCTTAGGAAAAAATTATACAGTAGAATTTAAGTCTCTGGGTTATCATTTGCAAATATTTAAATTTGTACGAGATAGATGGCCCGTTGAGGGAGGGATACAAAGGGCGCTAAGTTGATAGTGTTGTCTCTTTTCTCTAAATCAAAACCACAACCAAAAAATCCACATTAACGCCAAATTGAACAGAAAAAGTTAAATGACATTACAAATGGAATTTATTTTATCCAGAATCAGCATTTTAATCGGATTAATGTTTGTTCTACACGAAATTACTGAACATTGATATTAAAAATAGTCGTAGCCATACCCATTAACAATGCACCTAATCTCAATCATGACAAAATTCGCATTTAGAATTTATTTCAGGCGACTCTACAGTGGAGGGGGCACACACACACACACACCCCAAAGCAAGTCTACCGTCCCATTCAACGAAACGAGGTCAAACACAATTCTCCGGGGCAAAGGAGGCCGACACTGTTAAAAGTATATTTTTTTCTATATAAATTATTTATCATTTTAGGGGAGGGGAACTACACGTTTTTCAGGGGGAGGGAGGAGGAAATAGACATTCTATAGGGGGATAGAAGGTTAAAGAGGCTTCGCCCCTACCGAAAAGATGCATAGATGCATGAAAGAAACTTTACACAAACCACTTTTAAGATTAGACAAATGAGTTTAGCCGTAATGCAAGTGATTTTTTTATATTATATAGATGCCCTGCTTGTGCTTTCTCTATATTAAAAGCATTCCCAAAAGATACATATACACAGATACACAAAGAGACAGCCACACCATTATTATCGATTTAAATTAACAAATAAAACCTATGCAAATGTATTCTGCCATGTATTTTTTAGAATTTCGTTAATACATGCTATTCTAATTTATGTGATACTTATTTTAAGTATAAAAAATTTGAGCATGCCTGATATGCTAAACGCTCCATTTAGGTCGGTGATTTGTGATCTTGAAGAAATTATTATTGGAGTTCCCCCAATGCTTTCACATAATGTAGTCTTTAAAAACATACATTTTAACAACAAGAATAAAACCTTTATAAATTCACATTTGTTTTTTGAGAATTCGGAAATAAAGAAAATTACTACTCGATTGCGTGACTACTTTATATCAAATTATTACATTGCGGACATTTTGTTGTTTTCAAGGTGGACTATTTTTATATGAGTTGTACATGTAAAAGCAGTATCCGCGCGACTTTACTTTTGCATGAGTTATAAGTTCAGAGGCTCGGATTGCCGCGATTGTAGTTTCGTGATGTTACTAGGTTTGTTTCGCGTTTCGTGGGGTTATTGCAGCTGTATCTCGTATTGTTTTTATATAGCATGGTTATACTGTCCTCATGCTTCCTTTTTATTATTATTATTTTTTTTTTTTTGCATCCTTAACAATGTGTGGATGTGAGTCATAGGGAATAGAGGCGTCATACTGGTGGTGTAGTGTTGTTCACCATAGTTCCGTTGCTAGGTTCGATGCTTATGTTCACTGTTGTCGCTTGCGTTTTTAGTTGAGCTGTTAGGATTAGGTCTATCTGTTGAGTTGTGGTTGGCTGCATCAGTTTGTCGAGTGCTTCGCAGTTGTTCAATACTTTATTTGTTCTCATCTTTACACATAACACAGAAACCCTCGTCCATTGCCTCTACTAAATAAGGAACCGCTTACAATCTTTCACTCCAGCTTTTATACCCGCACTTCACTTATGGATAACAACACTTAAAACTCCGTGGTTAACTCAACTCACACACGCCTCTCCCCTATGTTCTTGACTATTCTAGCCTAATCTAATCTAACCTAAAACTGACCCGTAAAAGCTTGATTGTTATCTGACTTGAATAACTCTTAGAATATCAATTGTTTTGTCTTTGTAGTTTGATTATATATATATATATATATATATATATATATATATATATATATATATATATATATATATATATATAGCAAACATACTAACAAAGGTAAATATGACACAACATGTTTGTAAGGGACAGATGTCCATGGTAAAAAAAAAATATATAGATAGTAAGTGAAATTAATCAAAACTTGATTTATTTGCGTTTACAATTTTTAATTCTTTGATCTAATATTAAAATTTTAAAGATGTTATTTACAATAGGGTTGTTTGTTTTCAGGTAATTTTCATGATCTGGTGTCCAGTAAAATTCAAAGCTTTGATGGTTAGAGCTTGATGGTTTCCTTATAACATACTATTGTATATCACCAGTAGATAAGACTTCTAAGTGTTTGGTGGCGTATACGCGAGGAACAAAAACATTATTCACCTAAAATTTAAAAAGTAATTATAAAAATACATAATATAAACGTGTTTTTGAGTTAAAAGATTAAAAATAAAAGAAGCATTATACACCATTTTTTACTTCCTTAAACCTAAGTTGATAAAAATATATAATATAAGCCGCTAGGTAGTGTGTCTGTCATTCCGTTCGCCATCGGTATGACCGTTTTGTGGTCTTTTTTTTATCGATGTTTCCTATCAATAAGTTCTTACGCTATTAGTATATTTCAAAAAAATCACTACTTAATGTACTGAGTTACTGTTATACATACAAATATATATATATATATATATATATATATATATATATATATATATATATATATATATATATATATATATATATATATATATACTTTATAGAATTTATATATATATATATATATATATATATATATATATATATATATATATATATATATATATATATATATATATATATATATACTAGCGTACCCGTCCCCCGCGCGTTGCCGCGGGGATAGAAGAAAGTTTGACGAAATGTATTAGAAGGATTTCACCAACGCGTTACCAATCATATGTTCTTAGACGCGTGAACGTCTTTTCTAAAAGTGAGTTATTTAAATGTAAACAATGCCTGTGCTTAAATCATAAATATCGGGACACGGGTTTACCTACACTACCGCATGTAAACATTGAGTGTACATTAATCACTCACCGAAATAATATGTTAGGACACACTTCGGTGACCGCCCATGTGTCAGAGACGCACATGGGCGCTCTCAGGGCCCCCACCCTCCGATTAGACTACCGCATAGGTGCGGCGTACGACCCCTGTCTCCTTAAAAGTAACAGGCGCCATCGTGCCAAATAGCATCCTGTTATAATGGTGCAGATTTCGTCATTCGCTAAAGTGACACAAATGAACAGGATTTTTTTCTTTAACACGTAAAAAAAGTATTTGACGTGTTACTAATGGTCTATTATTAGATGCTCGATCTCAATTTCTGACTGGCTTGTCTTATAGTAGATGATTATTGCATCATTCGCAAAGTGACGACACTCTACAGTAGGCTCCTCATATTCAAAAAGTTATTTTTTCATCTTCGGCAAGGTGACGAAACTGTACAGAAGGATTTCCTCGCGTTACAAAGTTATTTTTAGAAGCCTGTTGTAGTTTTACCGCTGAATATAGTAGTACCCCTTACTCGCTATGCAGGACGCTCGATTAACGGATGCCAAGTGCCAACATAGTCGCTCTAAAACTCTGGGCGCCCAACCGTGTATTGACGAAAGTTGTACCCTATATGACGCCGCCCATAAGAAACTTTAGTTTTCTTTTTCGCAAAAATATTCTCAGGAGTATTCTCATCTACTCACTCAAGTTTCATGGCACTCGGATGAACCGCATCCGATTTTTATTTTTTATATACCGTGTATAGAGAAAAAAAAATCGCTCCCCCCCCCCGGAGGGCGCCGGCCTTGCAATATTAAACAATATTTTTGTTTGCAGAACCCTACTACTGAGTGATCTAATCATCTCCCCAAAGTTTCATGGTACACGGATGAACGGCGTGAAACCGAAATAGACTTATATTTTTATAAACCGCAAAATAGAGAAAAATCACACCCTCCCGTGGCGCCGCCCTTGCGAAATTAAAAAAGGAGTTTTTTTTTACAGAAACCTTCTCTGGAATGTTCTAATCAACTTCCCAAAGTTTGATGGCGATCGGATGAACGATGCCAAACCAAAATCGACTTTTATTTTTATATACCGTATTTAGAAAAAATCGCACCCTCCCGTGGCGCCGCCCTTGCGAAATTAAATATGATTTTTTTACAGAACCCTTCCCCAGAGTGTCCTAATCAACACCCCCAACGTTTCATGGATATAGGATGAATGGTGTCACTGCAATTCACTTTTATTATTTGTATATACCGTATATAGAGAAAAATCGCATCCTACTGTGGCGCCGCCCTTGCGAAATTAAACCTTTTTTTTACATAACCCTTCCCTAGAGGATTATAACGAACTCCCCAAAGTTTCATGTCTATCGGATGAACAGTGTGAAATCAAAATAGACTTTTAGTTTTATATACCGTATATAGAGAAAAAAACAAATCGCGCCCTGCCGGGGCGCCACCCCTGCGAATTTGAAATTATTTTTTTCGCAGAAACCTCCCCAGGAATATTCTCAACAACTTCCCAAAGTTTCACTGCGATGTGATGAGAGGTGTAGTAATGCATAAAGGACACACACACACACACACAAACATAGATTGCTTTTTATATATATAGATATACTTTATAGAATTTATATATATATATATATATATATATATATATATATATATATATATATATATATATATATATATATATATATATATATATATATATATATATATATATATATATCAGGTGCGTAGCGAGGGGGGGGGGCGGGGGTGCGGACCGCACCGGGTGACACTATTTAGGGGGGTGACACCAAGGCAAAAATTAGCAAAATATATAGAGAAATACTTGAGGGGGGTGGTGCAAATCGAAAGTTTGAGGGGGTGCAAATCGAAAACTTGAGGGGGGGGGGGGTGGGGGTGCAAATCGAAAACTTGAAAGTTTGTCCCCGGGAATGGTCGCAACGCCTCTGGGGGAGGTGTGACACCATTAAGTGCCGAACCGGGTGACACCCGACCTCGCTACTGATATATATCGAGGGTGTAGTATATCTTAAAAAAACATAATTTCGAGAAAAATGAGTTAAGAAAATGCTGCAAAATAATATGTTTACACATTCATAAAATTAGATATAAAAGTTAATCTAGCACTTTAAATACACGAGATTAGGTTAGTTCACGTCTGTGTATTTTAGTTCTGTGACAACTGTAACCTAGTTTTGTGCTTAGTTGTGTCACGCATTTAGAATAGATTGTAGATATCTAAAGGTAATTTATTTAGTCTTGGCGTCGTAACCTTTTTTGGTCCGCACTGAATACCCGTAAATTCAATACGTCAATTATTTTAAAAAATTACAATTATTTAAAGTAAAAATAGTCCTCTACTCTTCAAAAAGTGTTGATTATAAAAAAAAATCGTATTGTACCCCAAAACATGTGTAGCAGAGTCCATGAAAAAATCAGCAACCCGAAGATTAGGCTCTCGTCAACTATCTTGATTGAGCTCCCGTTTGTGGAGTATTGTATGCCTTGAATACCTGAAACTATACACAGGTAGATACATTTAGTTCACATGAAGAAGATACATTAAACATTTTATATAATCATAAAAATATCACAAGAAGGTTTTATCTTAGAAGAAAATAATTTAATAGAATATTTGTCTTTAACTACAAAAAAATACCTCCGCCTGCAATTGTCTATTTCATTTTTACTCTTCAATTCAAGTAAAGTGCTATAGTATATTATATAACATTAGCCGTCAGCGGGTATGCTTTGCTTCAGCTATTTATAGCCATGTCTAAATATAATTTTTCATGTTTTTTCCCATTATATCACAAAATCAATTTCCGTTTGCAGTTAATTGTCTTAAACTTAACGACAGACTAAAATATAAATTGAAGCAAATGCTTTTCGTTTGTTTACTTGGCATGTTATGAATTCTGTATTTTTCTGGTTGTTCTAAAAGCTTTTCTATATTCATTGGACTCTTAGATGTAATCACACATATAAGATTATAATATTTCGATTAACAGGCAGCATAGCACTCTCTTATCTAAGGTTCAGCGAGATAATGTAGAAACACGTTAATAGCAGCTTATATTAAGCCATTTGTTTCTTGAACATTGGTCTAATAATACGGAATAATATATTGTAGGGACGGCTTGTCACCTGATAAATAATGACATCTATGGGCTAAACGTTTGGCATCAGCTATGTCATAGTAAGTTACACTGCAACAGTACCAGCCAGCGTCTTGGGCTTGTAGGCCATTGATTAACAAACCAAGCCACGTAATATCTTTGACCATTCTCTTGTTGGGTTTCAAGTTTTCAAATTTTCGGGCCACCGTCCAATGAACTTTTCCACCAGGTTTGATTAGATTCACTTCTGGGTACTGTGCTCAAAACATGTATTGGATTTAAATTATTTAAAATGTTTATATCTATAGTGGTGGTTATTTGCTAAAAGTAGATAGATTTTGATGTACTGATGCAGAGGCGTATACTAGTTTTCGGGCTAGTTGGAGCAACAAGTCGAGAAAATGGCGCCATATATATATATATATATATATATATATATATATATATATATATATATATATATATATATATATATATATATATATATATATATATATATATATATATATATATATGGCACTGCTTCGCTAAGGTAAAAAAATTAATTCAAACATTACTCTGTAGAAAACAAAACAACAAACAACCATGTAGGCCGACAACAAAAAACAATTTATAACACAGAACAAAATACACGCAACGCAATCAAAAACAAGAAACGCAACACTATATGATTTATAGTCAGGGGCGGGAGGGCCCACGCCATTTAGGGGCCCAGAGCCGACCATAATAAATTTTTTATAGTTTAAAAAAAAGTAAATTTTCTTTCATTTTTGACTTGATGGTTGTTTTGTAAAAAAATTACCGTAGCTGTGGTTGGATTATATTTATTCTATAGACACCACCCCACGCTCTTGTATATTCTTTTTCCCTTTGTTTTTATTAAACCACTGTGAAAGCCGAGTCTTTCTCCTACAATTTAACTTATCAAAGATAAGCAAATGTTCAAACCACTCCAATGACTTATTTCCCTTTTTTTAAAAATAGTCAATTAGGGGTGATCATAAACTCCTTTTAATAGATTTGTACTAAACAAATTAAAAAGCAATTACTTCTCTTAATTATTATTTTTTTAAATAAAGTAATTACTAAAGAATGACATTGTATAAAAAGGAAGTGTATTAAATCAATAATATTTAAAAAATTAATAATATATTATTATATAAAAAAACATTAAAATAAACATAACACGAGGCACCATTACTTATACAAAGCTTTCATGCTTTATATTATTTTGACCGACTAGTAATAAGCTGTCTTATAATAAAAATTAATTAAAACTGATTTTCTCAAAACACACATGCTCATACACACTTGACATAATGTTGAAAAACTTTTTAATTGATGTTTTTCTAATCCAGAACAGGCCAGCAATGAGTATCGTTCGTATTTTGTGATTGTATACACACACACACACACACATATATATATATATATATATATATATATATATATATATATATATATATATATAGGGGGGGGCCTAAAAAAATTTTTTGCGGGGGGTGGCCCTTTTTTTCTAGTTCCGCCACTGTTTATAGTCAGCGTAAACTAAATTTGACGCGTTAGAATATTACTTAACACAAGCGATCTAGTGGAAATAATCACTTTCTTAACATAGATATGTCTACACATTTAATTGTAATTGTCATTTTCAACCATATAAATAGTTATTAAACTATTAGTATTAATAGTCTTCGTTGTTACAAAAAAATAATGTCTTAATTCATATAAATACTAAAACATTACAGCATAAACAAATTGAGTGCAAAGTCTGTATAAAACAGAGCTTTTACTGCTTCACTTATTATAAAGCTAATAGCTGGAACATTCTAAGTAATAATCCACAGCAAACTTAATTTTAACTAAATTATTGCCCTTCTAATCTTTACATTTTTAGCGCAATTTCCATTCTGGAGAATTGCGTTTATTAACCCGTCATTTCTGGATGTATGGATGGATGGATGGATGAATGTGTGTCCGCAGCTTTAAGTCGTATCTCCTCCTTAACGAAGCAATATCGATGACTAGTTCCAAAAGCAGTTATGTTAAGCAAGTTACAAAGATGAACATAGGCCATAAAAATTCCGGGTTTCTTTCATGGATTTCCCGGAAAAGCCAAAAAACCTCGAAAAAAAGCAGTTTTTGGCCCATATCTCGGCAACCAGACCACTTAGCGACTTGAAACATGTACCAATCGATTCATTCCATAATTTAGAACAATATTGCCGAAGAAAGTTTTCAAAAATATCCTTTCGTTCGGTCACAATTTTTTTTTTAATTAATTAAAATTTGGACCCAATTAGTAGGCATTTTTTCCAACCACACCACACGCGTCATCACGTTCAATAGCTGCGCCATCACGTTCAATGGCTGCGTCATCACGTTCAGTAGCTAGGCGCGCAATGGTTTTTAGTCATGTAACTCTATTGTAAATAAAACATGTAAAATACTGAATTTTTTTAAATAAAAAACGTTTTAATAACTAACCAATGGTTTACTAACCCTGCTCTTGATTTACGCTACGACAGAGCTATTTTTAGATAGCATAAGGAAATTGCGCTTAAATTGTCACAAGACTTTTTAATTACCTTGTTTTATTAGCTATTGCTGTTTGTGCTCTTTAAAGATTATTTTTACTTTCTCAAATACAGAGTATACAAGAAGTATTGTAATCCTGCACATAAATCATATGAAGTTTAGACAGTTTTCACCGTTTTACACCTCAGTACTTCATCGTATACGGAGTAAAGGGGACTTATTTTAAACGAGCAAAAAATTATAAATCAAGATTTATCAAAATCTAGGCGTTTTATGCGTAATTGAGCGGATAAAACTGGGCTTTGCAATGTGTGCATGTGTGTGTGTGTGTGTGTGTGTATGTGTGTCTGTAAACACAATAACTTAAGTACCGTTTTAACTAGGTTGATTAATATATATATATATATATATATATATATATATATATATATATATATATATATATATATTGTTGTATCAAATTTTTATTTTTGTATCAACTTTTGAGATATTTCCGATAACCGGAAGTGGAACATTTTTCTATTTTTATTTTTTAAAAGCCTGTAGCTTGAGTACTATTTTAAATAGATAATAATAATAGCAATTTTACTCGTAAGTAAAAGTTCTATTTCTCTGTATTTTTCTAAATTTTGAGTAATTTATGTTGAACAAAAGAAGTACTTTACGCTATTTCCGATTTCTCAAATAACGCATATGAATTTATAAAGTACTAAAAATATTGCGAACTATTATACACATTTTGTATTGCGTTCACTAGGTGCGCAATTCGTTTTTCTTCGAGATTTTATTCTTTTTTAAAAAGTTTAAGTTACTAAAAATGGATTAAAAATATTTTCTCTATCCCGAGTTGCAATCCGCCATAGTGTTATACAAGTATATTCGTGTAAGTTTAGGGAAGATAACTTTCGGTTTATTTATTATAATAATAAGGTATATGTTAAATCACTGATTAGCTCACACACATGTTTACTTTTGATTCTAAAAACAATAATCACATAGTTTAACCTGTAGCAAAAACTATGATTCAGGTTGTAAAAAAAACAACTAGAGTAATTACTTATTTCAAGTTTGCTTACTTATCTTTTGGTGGTAGTGATACTTTTATCTATAAGTGCTTTTATATTTTTTTTGCTAAAATTACCCGATGTTTTTAGTATATGTTTATAAATACATCTGTGGGTACTGATCATGATGACTCATATTAACGTTCTTGAAGTTGTCTGAAAGTATGTTTATTTTTTTGTACAGTTATTCCGATTACTACCCCCCCCTTTCCCACCTCATAAGATATTTAATATAATCAATCTATAAATAGGTGCATCTGTACAAGATGCCTTTGGTAATGTTCGAGATCAGCTGACATACAAGGGACCTGCAGTTCCTCCTCCTGTTAGTATTGACTTATTAAAGACAAGCAAAACTGTATTCTACGGGGCACAATTAATGAAAACATTTACCCTACGCTTCTAGACTAATCTTAAAACCCAAAGTTAATAAGTCTCTCGTATAAAAGAGGGATGGCTGAATTGAGACCGGTAACTTAAGCATAGTTTACACTTGTGCATTAGATCGATATGTGAGTGGTTGGTGGTCTATGTCCAGCAGGAATAAACAAACAGCAGTTGTACAGGCTATAAAGTGGACACATGATGAAAGGGAGAAAAGTTAGTAGATTATCAAAGCATATCAAACGGTTAGGTTTTTAAAACAAAAGACAAAAAACATGTTTTTACTTTCTCGTATATACGAAGTATAGAGAAAGTATTGTAATCGTGCACAAAAATAAATTGAAATTTTAACAATTTTCACCGTATTACACCTCAGTCCTTCTTCACATCCGAAGTATAGAGGACTTACTTTAATCGGGCAAAAATTGTCAATCCAGATTTATCAAAATTAAAAGGTTGTATGCGTAATCCAGTCTGAAAAACTGGGCTTTGCAATTATGTCCGTATGTCTGTGTGTCTGTGTGTGTGTCTGTGTGTGTGTGTGTGTAAACACGATTACTTGAGTACCGTTACAGCTAGCTTGTTGAAATTTCATATATAAGTATTTTATCAAAATCGTAGATCCGTATCAACTTTTGAGCGATTTCCGATAACCGGAAGTGGTACTTTTTCTACTTTGAATTTTTCAAAAGCCTATAACTTGAGTACTATTTCAGATGTAAGTAAAAGAGCTAATTCTCTACCTTCTGTCAAATTTTGAGTAATTTCCGTTGACCGGAAGTAGTAATTAACGCTACTTCCGATTTCTCAAAAAACTAATGTTAATTTTAAAAGTACTAATAATATTGCGCACTATTATGCGCTTTTTTATTTGGCGTTCACTTGGTGTGCAATTAATTTGTCTACGAGATTTTATTCTATTTTTAAAACTTTAAGTATTTAAAATGGATTTAAAATCATGTCTATAGCCCGAGTTCCCATCCCCGGTTATTTTATATAAGAATATTCGAGAAAGTTTTGGGGAGATCACTCCCGGTTTATTTTCAATTGGAGCTTACTGGAAACGTTAAAAAATAGTGGAAATAAAATAGTATACTAGATATCAACAACTAATACAAATAGAAGTTTATACTATTTTATCAAACACGTTTGTTTAGGTAAAGCTTAAATTATAATCTGTAGTGATACTGAATTTAAAATGTTTTAACCATACACTTACCTGACCAGAATACCAATATGCTTTTAATGTATACAAAAAATAGGAGTTCGGATAGAAATCTTTATTTTGCCAGAACAACGACACGTTTTCCATCTCTGTTGCTTTATCAGGAATCCCCGCAAGATCAGGGGTACATTGAATGATTTTCAAGTTTGGATCTTGTGAAATTACGCTTGGTTCCACTATAGAATGATTTGTAACTGTAAATAGTAAAAAGTAAAAGACAATGAACCTACGTTTAACCTAATCATAACAACAAAACATTACAACTATATGTATATGCATGTGTGTGTATGTATATTGAAGTACTTTGTTTTAATTTTAAAAAAAGGTCCCTCCGAATTAGACAAACCTAGATGCTTGTGGACATTAAGAAAAATCCAAATATATTTAGGTAAAGCAAGTAAAATTTTGAATATCAGTCACGTGTATTTTCACTGATAGGAAATATTGTATGTTTAAATAACATTGATACAATTACAGGAGTTAAATATTATTTTCAATATCAATTTTTTGAAAAATGTAGGTTTTTTTATGATTTGAATTTAAAAGAATAAGTAACAATATTTTAAAAAAGAAGGTTGACACTAAAAAAAACACATCCTCATAAAAGACACCAACCTATAAAGTCCTCACAACGTTTTGTGGAGGGCAGTTGTAATTTTCCGTTCTTACTGATGATGCTAGAGCAGCAAAAATCGCCTTGGTCATCGGGGGTGATATTTATCAAATCGAGTTCCACCCTGAATTTATCCCTATAGAAAAATCCACGACTGTTCTTGGGATCGTGTCCAGAAACCCTAGTTCGCCAGTGAGTCTTTACACCAGGTGTTCTGGCAGTACCAAACTATACAAAGATTAAAAAATAACAACGTACAATGATAAATATAAA